TGCACTTTGGGAATGCAGCACGTCTGCAGCGTGGCCTCAACTCAGACATGCACCCCGCTGAACCCCCAAGATGTCTGACGCTCACTGGCTCTTCCCGTCTCCCGTCTTTTGAGCGTTGGCCTGAAAAATCCTCGGCCAAAGCCACAGACTGCAGGCGGTTGGCCGGATCACCTTCCTGAACTCGGCGCTCCATTTCCGGGAGCAGGATGGCCAGGAACTGCTCCAGGACCAGCATCTCCAGGCTCCTTGCTGTGTATTTCTGGCTTCATCCACCGACAGCAGAGTTTACGGAGGCGATGGCAGACCTCGCGGGGACCCTCTGTCGTCATACATAGAGGAACCTCCTGATGCTCTGCTGTTCAGCCTCCGAACTGGTGACCTCTGATTCTTCCCAGAACTCCCTGCCGTCCTCAGCCCGGCTGGCTCCTGTGAAATTCCCAGAGCTTTTTCCTGCTCGAAGGTCTCCTCCTCCCATTTTTATTTTCTGTTCTCACGTAGCCTCAACTCAGAAACCTGGGAGGGAAAGATTCCCCTCCTTTGGGGCTTCCACGTACAGGTCTGTTTAATAATTCTCCCTCTGAGCCAGGGCTTTGGTTCATTATAACCTCCAGGCATCCAGATATTGGGAAATAAAAGGATACATCCGTTCAGAGAAGACTTTCTCCCTGTGGGAAAGAGAAATGAAGTAGGAAGAATTCACACTGAGAAAACCAGGATGGCACAATAAGGTAGGGGGCATTCTTTTATTGAGGATTATTAAAAACCCACATCACTGCTGAAGCCCAAGATACCCCATACCCCGGCTCCCCGCTTTCTTCCACAACCAGCTAACGCCCCACAGTGGAAATGGATTCATTTGGGCCCTCTTTCAGCCTAACTCGGATGTTAGGATGGTTGGCCACTTAGCACAGGGTTTTCGAGAAATGTGAAAACTCAGCCAGATTTAAAACTATTTTGAATATCATTTTAAAACCAAGCCAGATTCAAAGCCCTTTGACAACCTGTTCAAATCCCAACTGCAGTGAAAGCTGTTTGCAACATGCTTTAAAAACCCAGTCAGCTCAGGAAGAGTTTGAAGCCACTTAGCAATCAACCTGGAATCAAAGCAGTTACAAAAGTTTCTCTGAAATCTCAGTAGACTGAAATCTTCCCAGGAGTTGTCATAGCCTAAAATAATTACACCAACGCTACTGGAAAACTGGAGACACATAGAGGAAAAATCATGGCTTACTCCAGCAGGATTGTCCCTTTCCCACGGTCCTCACAGAGTGGCCTGCCAGCAGCCCCTTTGTGAAAGGCATCCGGATCAATGTTTCATCGGGTAATTAAGTTTGCTTCTTTCCTCCTCCCTCCCCATTCTTTTTCTTCTCAGGTTACAGCTTTGGTTTTGTAAGCTGAAGCAGCAAAGCGTCTGCTAATTCTGCTACTCTTCAAGAGCTGTTCTGAAAGGAGAGGTGGGTGAAAAGGCCCCCAATAAAACAAGCTTCCTGAACTGGAAACTGGAAAGCAAGTCACAGGTTGACCTGACCACAAAGTGGTGCTTAAAAATGAGTTTGTATAAAAATCATCTGGGTTGGAGCGGGAAAAACCACCTGGCTCACA